GATCCACATGTATTTTTTTTTTGTTTGCTTACGTGGTTTTGTTTTGTGTTCCTTGCATGTGCAGCCGAGGCAGCGGCCAGCCAACAATCGTACACTCTCGGCTTGCCCGACAGCAGTGGAGGTGGAAGCGGGTCGACGGGAGGAGGCGGTGGAGGGGGCAGCGGCTCCCCCGGCCTGCCCCCGATGCCCCCTCTATCCGCCGAATCCGCAGGCGGATCGCCTGATCCTCAGCAGGCTCTGACCGTGTTGCAAAGCGCAAGCGCGGCTGCCGCCGCCGCGGCGGCTGCGCACTACGTCGTGCCTGCGGGCGGTTTTGCAGCTGCAGGGTATTCCACCTCCGGTAAGTACCTACGAGCAGTTATGGGCATTTACATACAATGTATACAGTAATGAGGAGAACGTATACAATGATAAAGACAATGTATAGAATAGCATAAGTGAGGTTAGGTTTATTCAAAACGTCAGAAAGTTGGCTGGCAAATATGGTTGGTGGCCCGAAGAACAAAAAAATCGATGAGCTAGGGTTCATTTTGACCATCCGCCACCAAGCAGGGTGCTCCATCACTTGTAAGTACCTAAGAGTCAAAAATGCGGTGGACACTTTTATTATTCAGGCTGCGCGCACGAGACTTACAGGGCGACCTAGAAGTGTCAAGCCGGAAAAGGAGGATGGTTATCAGAAAAGAAAAATTAAAAATCCTGACGTGTACTTTCAAATTGAAGAGTGGTAATTCAAAAGCGTCTAAGTACCACATTTAAATATTTTCGAATTTCGGTGTTTCTATAGTTTATGTATCATTACCAATAGTATACAAAACAGTCTATGTGCCAGTCAAGAATCTGCAGTTCTACAGGGTGTTCCTTAATGATATGCGAATATTTAAGGGTATGAATCTAGATGAAAAATTAATTTTCCCGTCTGTCTCCGAAGGAACTTTGAATATCGAAACTTTCTAAGCGTCATTTACCTAAGTAGGCAATCTTATCCTGATTTAAGCGACTTCATATCTCTTACAGTTCCCGAGACCTCAATGGTGAGCGTCGAATAGAATTATAACAGAAAAGAGCAAACAATGGATTTTATTCACATTCAAAAACACATGTTGGTTCAGGTCAACATTACCAGATAAAGGGTTAAGATGTATTTTTGTCTTTTCAGCAGGCAGTGCGGTGGTACCAGGCAGCGAGTACTACAGCACCGCGTACAGTCAGTACGGCGCGACGTACGGCACCTACGGCTATGGCACCGCCTCCAGCGGGTTACTCAGTAAGTAAACAGTGAGTATTTTAGACATGTAAGTCCACTATGAAAAATACTCCACCTTTTATGATACCTACCAGTTATTGATAAAAAAAATATTCCCGCTAACACGTTGGTATTTAAAGGAAATTCAAAAACAAACCGAAAAGGTATTTGGTTCGAACTTTACTGTGTAAATAAGCTAAAAGCTGATACATGTAATGACTAGTCTTATCGAGAAATTTAGAACGTAGTACTTCATTCCATTGGAGCAGTCTTTTGGAACGTGCTTGTCGTCTCCACATTTGAGGCACTTGTGCTTTTCTTTCTCCTTTGCCTTACACTGGTACGCAGCGTTGTCATAGAGCTGGCACTTGTTGCATCTCGCTCAGTTATTCTACACCCGCTCCATCCTATTTTAATTAACCAATGTTCCAGCAGCATACGTCCAAGCCCTTCAGGGGGTACCATCAGGGCACTGCAAGCCCCCTCCCACTTTTAGCTGCTCTGGGCTCACAGACTTGTAGACCTGGAACATTCTGCTTCAAAGCCTCTTCCTCAGCGTGACAGACCTCTTTCTGAAACAGTCCTTTGTGGTGGCTTGGCCACAGTTTCGGCCCCTAAAATACCTGCGTCAAATGTACCTTCCTTTCTTTCTGCCACCTTCAGCTCAATTTCACCTGTCTGCGTATGCCTCACATTGCACCGAAGCACCTGTTTCTTGTAAATTTATTGTTTGCGGCAGTCTCCTAAGCGCATTAGCAGATCTTTTATAATCATAAGGATGTCCTTGTGCGGCACTGCTTTTTGGCTTTTCCACTTTTCTACCGCAGTTTGCAGCGGGCTGATCAAGAACTCATCAATCTTCTGTCTTTGAAGTACCGCAAGAACTTGATTTGCTCTCCCTCATTTTTAAGAGCTTCTCCCAGCTCAACGTGTCTAGCTGCAAATGCGCTGGCACTTCGTCGGTCCTCTTCTGTTTCGTTTGTCAATATCAGAGTACTGGCATCCTTCAAGGAAGCATTAGCTTCCCATGTCGCTACCTTAGTCACCTGGAAGCATGGTTCTGGACATTCTGCTTCCTTGATCAACTCGATGAACTTTTTGATATGTCATCTAGTCCTGCATTCAACTATTGCATCAGCAGAGCATTAACTCTTCTCTTTCTTCTTTGCAGCATCGGCGTACTACTACAACCCCTGCGACGGCCAGCTAAGCGCCGTCCCCCATCACAACGGCTCCGCCCACCAGCATCTGGTAGGCGGGGCCACCGATAACACCGCCTCCGAACTCGAAGCGAGCAGCCGTAGTCCAGTGGCGGCGACCAGGGCGAATTCGTTGGCCAGCGCTAATTCGCCGACGGAGAGTGGCAGTGCTTGTGTCACTAAGACAGAGGGCATGTTCAATGGACATGAGTTACAGCTGTCGTAAGACTACGATTTTTTATCTGTTTGTTATTCAGGAGCGGAAAAAATAGTAACTACGATCGATACATAATACTCCTGTCAATCCGGATACTTAGACGCAAACGTCAAAGTGTGACGTGATCCGGAAAAGCCTGACATAATAACATAACCTCAAAAATACTGTCTACGTACCAGCAATATTGATTGTCCACGATTTTGGTTTCCGTGGCGTTTTGTTACTATACCGGGTGATTCATAATGTATTTGCAATGTTCCAAGAAAAGCATATTGAAAAACAACATGAAAAGTTCTATATACAGATACTAGGAAGTGTCTCCACACCAAAATAAAGATAAATTGAAACTCGAAATGTTTCTCAGACCATTGCTTATGGACCAAAAATTGTTTTAATTTTTTAAACAAAATTTCAAATATCTCATTTTCCAGGAATAAAATAAAAATACTAACGTTTAGCATAGAAAATTGCATCAACTATTTTCTGGAAAATTGCAAACGTTTTTTAAATAAATATATGAAACAAATCTACTCAAAGATATCAAAAATCTGAAATGGAATGATTTTTTAAAATATGCCCTCTGTCATAGATAATGACCGAATCCGTACAAAACCTTGAGAAGAAAAGAACGATGTTCAAAGTAATGAGATTATAATTATGCAATCCACACATTGGGGGATTCAAAATATTGATATTTTTTTTTGTAAATATGTAACATTTCAACATACATGAAGGCACATGCAATGTCCTTTTTTGTGAAAAGCTCGAATTTTTAGGAGATCGTCAAAGTTACCACTGGAAGTTGGTAGAATTATTGCATTATATGACAGATCAGATAATCCTTTTTTCAGAATACTCTTATTCAAGAAAGTTTTGAAATCTTCCCGCCATGGATAAAAAGAAAAAACGTCGAAAAGTTTTGTCATGGAAGAACCAAAAACTACTTCACTCGCTTTCACCCTTTGCTCCCCAGGGACATCCCCTTAAAAATTTTAAAAGACAAGGGATATCGAGTAGTAGCTTGTTTGAAAGGTCTTTTGAAGTCCCTTATTTTGACGTTTTATTTTTCATAATTGGTCGAATCGTTTTCAAGAAAACTAGAAAAATCTTTATTCGTCTTGACTTGTTCAGAAAGAAAACAAAAACTCACGAAAATATCACTTTTTATTTCAATAAGTGTTGAAAATGTTGTGGTTCAGAGCCTAATGAAATACCAGTCGGAGCAACAATTTTGCGTAATGAATAAATAGGATTTATTCCTAAATGACCCAAAGCTTCAACTTGAGCGACTTCATTCAAAACTCTCCTATGATCACGTTTTTTTATTTACAACAGATCCAGTTTGAGTAAATTTTGTAACAAGGTCCAACACGTACCTATGCAAATTTATCTTTCCTTAAACGTGTCGGCAGTTTGGCGAGCACATTGATTTTGGGCACCCTTAATTAGAATCATTTTCACTCTTTCGGCTAGTGTGGAAGTAAAATCTGGATCAATAAATTAATTTTCACGGTCCCAAGATTGTCATAAAGGTAACTGATAGCAAATTAAAATTCATTATTTCCCTTAGCAACAAATAACTAAACAGGAATAACAATAAATACAGTTCGTTCAGTATATCTGTGTTGATGAGACGGATGCGGAAAATATTCGGGTTGTGATTTGGTTGTTGTCACGTCTACGGAATTGCTGTTTATGCTGGTAGTTTCCGTTTTAAATTGTAAACGAATTGTAGATTTAAAAACTCTAACGGACAACATTTTGAACACTTATTGAAATAAAAAGTATTATCTTAGTGTGTTTTTGTTTTCTATCTGAACAATTAAAGATTTTTCTAATTTTCTCGAAAACAAATCGACTGATTTTAAAAAAGCAAACGCTAAAATAAAGGACCATTCAAACATGCTATTACTTGATACCCCCTGTTATTTAAAAATTTTACACAGATGACCCTGTGGGGGGCCGAGGGGTGTATTATATTTTGGTTAAAAAGTTGTCTCCCTTGACAAATTTTTTAATCAGTGGTCTTCGATAAGTCCGTGGTGGCAAGTTTTCAAATCAACACTCTGTAGATTTTGAAATAGCAGTATATTACAGAAGTATATTGCAATAATTCTGTACAACGACCCGCTCTCATATCAAAGAAGCATTGTCGCGATAGGGTATCAATAAATAATAGAATCAACCTAAAAATTCGACCTTCAAGAGATGACTTAAATACCGTACAGCTCTTGAGAAAATCGAGCTCGTATGCATTTTTAAGAAATAGATACTTTCGAAACAGTTATCACAAAGAATTCTGATTAAAAATGGTTGACACAACAATTTTTTTGAATTCATGCATCAAGAAGTGATTTTTTGTTCTGATGAAGTTTCGAGGGGTCTATTGGCCGTATTGTACTTTAACTGTGTAAAATATAGTGAGAGAAAATTTTACATTTTGCCTCTGTGTACTTATAAAGTTTTGATTTTTTATATTTCTGTACTGATACAAACGTTGTTTTTACTTTTAGCAATACTAGGTAATTCTGGAAATAACTGAATTTGTTGAAAGATGCGTGTAAATGTGTAAATAATGTGAAACTAGAATACTTAAAGTATTAAACGATTTATGAAAATAACTGTAAGATAAAGATTGGTCTCAGTATACTACGAAGATTTTTTGTTATTTATTTACGTAGTCCTTCGGTATATACTTTATAAACTGCTCGTTAAAATTAGTCGGACATGCAACAATACTATTTAACTTATTACTACTGGAAGAATATACAGGGTGACCATGATAATTATGTATCATTTTTCCTCAAGCGTTTCATTAAAAAAAAACATTTTTTTTTAATTTCTTCAAACCAGTCAACTGGAAAAATAATGCCACAAATCCCCTGTATCTCCGCCACTGGCGCACGTTAATCTAAGAACGCGAACAGTACATACCAAACGTTAGTTCATACCAAATGACTGTTTTGAAGATATTAAAAAAATTGTTTTTTATTTTTAAACTTGAGCACCCCGTATCTTATTAATGAAGCTCTCGAGGCAAAAATATTACATAAAAGACCCCCGTCAAAATGCGGTCCTGTGTATGATGTTTCATTTTTGGTCACGACTTGTGAATCACCCTGTACATTACACATAAACAAATACATTTTGGGAAAATCTATTTACGGTATGTCTTACATGCCATCTGAGGCCACATTTGTAAAATATTGGCACATATACAGGGCGACCCAATTTGGACCTACATATCAAAGTTGTGATTTTTTAAATGAAATGCCTCAAGTTTTGTCGCATATTACACCTTACATCTAACTAGCTAATTACGATGTTATATCAATCTTCTTCTTTTGAATTGGTGTATCCAAATATGCAATAAAATTTGAGGCATTCCATTTGAAAAATCACAACTTTGATATGTAGGTCAAAATTGGGACATCCTGTATATTTGCCAATATTTTACAAACATGCCCTCAGATGTCATGTATGACATGCCGTAAATAGATTTTCCCAAAATGTATTTGTTTATGAGTAATATTCCGTCCACACATGGATGGGCCACTCTGGGTATGTTAAATATCATCAAAATAAAAATTGCTAGAAAAATGTCTTAAAAAATTCCTATCTCAAAATTGTGCCTCTAACTTTGACGACCAGTTAGTTTTGGTTGACTTAATTTTATTTTATACAGTTTAGTGAATTAAGACACACCAAAGAAATGTTTTTAAGATACATGTTATATAGAAATAGCACCTAATCATATCAACCTATAATTTGCAATGAATTTTTATTTTTTATACTGAGATTTATTGCAGATTATGTTTTAGATTTTTTGTTAGTTTGCGCACTTACAGTGTACTTTTTCAACGCCTGACAGATCTGTTGAACCTTTGTAGGTAAATAGCTAGTCAAAGAATAACACTTACCTTACTTTTAGTATGATTTCAATCAAATATTCGGGGTGATACAAAAGAGATATTTCCGATTTTCTGTCGATAATTTTAAAACGTTTTTACCGAAGTTGTAGCTTCTGAAAATTGGTACAGTGACGACAGAATAACTAGTAAAAACTAGATAAAATTTTATAATATTTATATTGCTTCAAAAGCTGGTTTGAACAGTGGCGTGCGTTCGGGTATTGACTTCGAAATTTTTTAAGAAAAAATAGTACGCCAATGGTTTTTTGCCAAATAAAGGGGAATTCAAAAATAATTTTTATTTGGCAAAACACCATTGGCGTACCACTTTTTTCCTAAAAAATATTGAAGTCAATACCCGTTCGCACGCCACTGTTAAAGGTAAAAATTGTTTTTGCATAGAGTTTTTGTAAGGAAACATTTTTGGACCATAGTTTATAAAGCAAACTAACATTTATTTTCCATGTAGATTCAGGTTTAAATATTCGCATATCATTAAGGAACACCCTGTATACTGATATAAAAAATAGAGCTCTAGGCCCAAACTTGATCACCCTGAAATATACCAGAGAGAAGTTTTTTGTGAAATTTTCGAAAAAATCAAATTGCAGTCGAGACGTATGGAGGCTTAAACTATCTTTTTTATAACATTTTGAAAAAGTTTTATCAGATACAGCTGCTCCTAAAAAGCAGCAAAATTATCAAGTCCTTTCTAAGTATTTTCCTGAGATTGATATTATTGCAAGGTTCATAAAGGTGTATACTTGGTTTTTTTAAAGCTCCAAATGTCTGAACTATTGCTTCGTGAAAATAATAGTGACAAAAAGGTAACATGTAAAAAAGTTATATATTTTTTGTAAAATGTGTAATAATATACCAAAGAAATGACTTAGTTTACAAAGCTGTCAGCGGTATTATAAGTATTAATTTGTAAAATGTGATAGGCCCTTTTAATCAGGCCCCATCTTGCTCTTTACTTACCCTGTCACATTCACGCATAATTTTAGACAGTTTATATTTAGAAAAACAAATAGATACATATAAATAAATGGCTTTTTCTTACTGTCCTTACGAGGGCGGTTCAATAGGTACCCGTGCTCGACGACAGAGGGCGTTCCTGGGGAAAGTTAATGTTATCATCGTGTGCTGCCATCTATCAAAGGACGGCACAATAAATGTCAGACTGATTGATAGGTTAGTTTAGATTTGGCAGCCGTGTTTCGCTAAGATGGAAAAAGAGCAGTATCGTTCGGTAATTCACTTTTTGCTTTTGGATGGGAACAAATGCGAGGAGATAAAAGCAAAGTTGAGGACACTTCACCATCTATGACCACAGTTAGAAATTGGTAAAACGAATTTAAACGTGGGCGCTTCTGATGAGGATCGACCAGGACGCCCGGCAGACGTGGTTACCGAGGAAGTCATTCAAAAAGTCCACGACATGATTATCGACAAACGAAAGTGCGAAAAGTAGCAGAGGCCGTAGGTGTGTCGACCGGAACGGCAATCAATATTTTACATGGTAAGTTGACTATGAAAAAATTGTTGTGAGTGCCGCGATCTAAGCAACAATGAAAACATTGGATTTCTTCAGGTGAATCTGCTCCAAAGAAGGCGAAGACAGTCCCATCGACCGGAAAGGTCATGGCGACGATTTTTTGGGATGCGCACCGCGTGTATTTTTTTAGCAAAAGGAAGAACGATCACTGGACAATACTATAGTGAGTTATAGGACCGCTTCGACAAAAAAATGAAGGAGACACGGCCACATTTGACGAAAACGAAGGTGCTGTTTCACCACGATAACGCACCAGCACATTCATCCGGAGTTGTCGCCGCCAAACTGCATGAATTGCGTTATGAAATGCTGCCGCACCCCCCGTATTCACCCGATCTCGCCCTCTGCGACTTTTTCTTGTTCCCTGACATGAAGAAACGGCTCGCGGGCGAAACATTTAGCTCAAATGAGGAAGTCGTCGCCGAGGCAGGCGTATTTTGGAGAGTTCGACAAATCCTATTTTTTTGGGGAGGTTAAAAAAAATGGGAAGAGCTTTGGAAAAAGTGTATCTTTCTAAAAGCGTATTATGTTGAAAAATAAAAAGATTTTTTTTGGAAAAAATGGTGTCTTTATTTCTAACACGGGTATTTATTGAACCGCCCTCGTACTATTCCATATTCGTGTATTTAAGAAACATGCAGCAATCCAACGTTCTTCTTCACTGGTAGTCGAGGTTTTTGAAAAGCATCAGGGTCTGTTGCTTGACAACACACACGTCAGGACCTTCGACATCTATTATGAAATTTTTTTAACACGCTTTTATTAGCTTGGCCTGTATGAATGTAACGGAATCTTTTTGAGCATAATTTTCACCAACTTCCAGTCTGTAAAAGGCAGATATGTTAATAAAAAGCCACTGACTTCAAATGCCGCTTTACAGTGGCAGAGCACTGGTCTTGTAAGCCAGGGGTCGTGAGTTCAATCCTCAGAGGAGGCAGATTGTACTATTCCTTTTTTTTTATTTTTTTAACACACTTTTATTAGCTTGGCCTGTACGAATGTAACGGAATCTTTTTGAGCATAATTTTCACCAACTTCCAGTCGGTAAAAAGCAGATATGTTAATAAAAAGTCTCGGATTTCAAATACCGCTTCACAATGGCAGAGCACTGGTCTTATAAGCCAGGGGTCGTGAGTTCAATCCTCAGAGGAGGCAGATTGTACTATTCCTTTTTTTATTTTTTTAACACACTTTTATTAGTTTGGCTTGTATGAATGCAACGGAATCTTTTTGAGCATAATTTTCACCAATTTCCAGTCTGTAAAAAGGAGAAACGTTAATAAAAAGCCTCGGATTTCAAATGCCACTTTACAGTGGCAGAGCCCTGGTCTTGTAAGCCAAGGCTCGTGAGTTCAATCGTCAGAGGAGGCAGATTGTGCTATTCCTTTTTTAACACACTTTTATTAGCTTGGCCTGTATGAATGTAACGGAATCTTTTTGAACATAATTTTCACCAATTTCCAGTCTGTAAAAAGCAGATATGTTAATAAAAAGCCTCGGATTTCAAATGCCGCTTTACAGTCGCAGAGCACTGGTCTTGTAAGCCAGGGGTCGTGAATTCAATCCTCAGAGGAGGCAGATTGTACTATTCCTTTTTTTATTTTTTTTAACACACTTTTACTAGCTTGGCTTGTATGAATGCAACGGAATCTTTTTGAGCATATTTTCACCAATTTCCAGTCTGTAAAAAGGAGAAACGTTAATAAAAAGCCTCGGATTTCAAATGCCGCTTTACAGTGGCAGAGCACTGGTCTTGTAAGCCAG